GAGAAATTTTTTGGAATCGTTACGAGTATCGTTTGTCTGCTTCGCATTTACGTCAATTTTGATTATCGAATAATACTAATACCAAGAGCAATTACTTTCAATACAAGCAATAAGTCAAAATATGAATTTTGAAAAAATTTATAATTCATACATATAGTAAAATAATTGTATAGACTAATTCTTGCAATTGCTAATTGTTTTATAAGTAAAAAGGGCTTCCCTTTTCTTCTGGAAATAAATTATATTAATTATTTATTTTAACGTAATTAATTTTAAAAATTCTTGTTTTTTATAGATAAATTACTTTAATTTCTTGAAGTCTTCGGTTATGTATAAGAGTACGTTATTATTTTTTTGTAAAGACGGCTCCACCTGGCATACTTGATATATACAGGGTGTCCCATAATTCGCGAACCACCGCGATGAGCAGATAGAGCGTGTTAAACTGAATTAAAAGTTCTGTATCATTTTGCGATATTCGCAATAATATTGAGTTATAACTAAAATATCTAAACGAATGAGCGGTTAGAAGCGGTAGGCCGACTCGGTGTGCATGTCGGATGACTTATTTGTTATATGCCGCTTAATATCAAAAGTATCATCTCTTACTTTTCGGCGCCACTACATTGGTCGCCGCTCGCTGCATGACGTCGCCTCTCGATCAAATAATGCTTTCTACCTGCTTATTCGTTTAGATATTTTACTAAATAACTCAATAATTATTGCGAATATCGCAAAATGATACATGAATTTTCTATTTATATATATATATATATATATATATATATATATATATATATTATTAAAGTATGTATGTGTGTGTTTTTTATATATACGTACTATTCCATGCTTGTAAAATGTACATCGAACCACTTCTGGAGTCCATTCTAAAATATATTAATTATGAATTTAATAATATATTTTTATATGTATGCTTATAATTTAGTAATTAAATTTATAAATAAATTTGTTATAAAAATTCTAATATACAATTTGTCTAATGTTATTTCTACAAATCTTTTAAATAGAATTCTTGAATCTAAAAGTTATTACGTTTTATTATTAAATTTTATTTTAATGTAGTAATACCTATTACTGGCCTCAACAGAGAAAATTGTTTTTTTACATTTAATTTTTATTCAGAAAGAAAAATTGAAGACTTTATTTTAGAAAAATGCCTATTATGATTATATCTGTGATAACATTATATATTTATAATAAAACCAATATGTATAATAAATTTATAATATTTATAATAACGGTAATGAAATTATAAAGTTCAAAAATTTTCTTTAACATTATTTAATAAAATAAATATATTTAATATAAATAATTTATATTTATTTAAATCCAAATTTAAATTAATCGTAATATTATTCACCTGATACGTTCGCTTCATTGAGACAAATTTGGTAGTTTTTATAGAATATCTTCAATTTTTCAAGATCAGCGGTATAGGATATTGTCTGAAAAATATAATAAAATAGTTTTTCTCCGCATTTTTTAATTATTCATATTTAATATATCATTATAATGTATCGTATTTATTTTTACCATTAGTATTATTATCGTCAGTATTATTAACTTTATGCGTACCTTAGATTTTCACGTAATTTTGAGAAGTTATTTCAAATACCATTGCTCAAAATATTTGATTGCGCTTAAGCAGTCCATATTATTTTATTTCGAGTAATGAATGAATTATTTTATTTCGAGATATTTCTGATTTACTTGTAATAAAATAATTTAATAATTAGAAATATCGAAATATAAGAAAGAAAAAATATATATAAAAATATGTACGACGAAATAAATTAGATTATAGAGAAATGGATAATATAAAAATCAGAGTCAGTACTTAAACCGTTGTTAATTGTTTTTTTTTTATTACGTTACATTTGGAATAATTATTTAAAGACTCAACCGATTTGTAATTTTATGCAATATTCGAGACAGAATTCTATTTATTTTTATATAATGTAGTATTTTATGCAATAATTAATATAAACGAATAACGTAACGAAAATATTCAAACATATAAAATATACACACACACACATACAATATTATCATAATATTATATACAACATATTATTCATATATAATAATTGTGATATTGAATGAAATATTTTAAATAAAGATTTAAATATATGATATATGTATGTATTAATTTTTTATGATTATACATAAAATTATAAATTAAATTATTTTTTATATTTGATTTATTCTGCAGAATTTTTTAACATTTTTCTTACTTATGTTGTTCATTTTACTGTAAAATCATAATAATTTAAGAATTAATATGAGAATCTATAAAAACATATTTGGCGGCAATTACCATTGATCGTTAATTTTACTTGTCTAGGGGATAGAAACGAAAACTTTGGAAAAGTAAAATTGACAATATTCTCTTTCTCTCTCTCTCTCTCTCTCTCTCTCTCTCTCTCTCTCTCTCTCTCTCTCAGTGCGAGCTTTCCAATCATTATGAACTTGCGCGAATGCAATTATGCATACGATTGTCTGAGTAATTTGTCTATTATGATTTAGTGACAATAGTGTTTGTAAAAATTCGTGTAGAGATATCAAAATTAACGAGATAATTGTCAGGATTACAGTTGCAATAATAAATATATCAAAACTATACTAAGCAAAATTGAATTTATTTTATATTTTCTTTAATGATATTAAAAAATAAAATTTTTTTATATATTGATTTATATTTCGGTTTGGAGAATGCTAGTTTATGTATTGCTTCCTACTTACTACTAAACACGCAATAAGCACAAGAGTCTTTATTGTTGTTTGGAATATAAAATGCACTGATCCGGTGTTATCTATCGTATTTTGATTCAATTACTGTTTGTGCATCATTTCTTTAACTGTATTTATATCTATAAAGTAATGGTAACATGATGTTATGTAATGTAACGAGATAATGTTATGTTAATTCCGTGCTAAATATAAAATATAATTTTCTATAGCCTTGGGATTGGTCATACTGAAATAATATCGTATATCTAATTTTTTTTTACTGTTTTAAAAAGTTATACCCTACGCGATATTAATAGATATGGAGAAAATGAAGAACTTGAATATAAAAAATGCATTTATTACTTCGTAATGGTTCAGCGGTAATTTATCATTGTTATCTCTAGTAAATTACGAAGAATTATTTGCGGATATTGAAAGCTTATTTAACTGGAATTTTTAACTTGTTGATTTGAGTCTGATAAATTAGAATAAAACACTATACTGAAAAATACTGTGGCCTTATTTAAAAGTAATTTTTACAAAACATTAAAACTTTAATATACTTATACGAGGTCTGTCAGAAAAGCAGTGAGATTAAATCTGTAACGCGCAAAGTGAGATCACTAGAAAATTATGATCAAACGGAATGTAAAGTAATTTTCCTTTAAAAGCAATACAAGTTTTGATTTGTTTGGTTGCATTAATGTGTCAATGATATATCAAAATTCGAAAATACAAAAAACGCAAACTTTGATTTTATAAAATTTTTTATAATAATAATATAAAAGAACAAAAATTATTTTTTATCCCAGCGTTAAATATATTTGTTATGTTCCTTCAATTAGAGGATCGGTGATGGAAGAACGATGGAATGATTTACACGATATATATGAAACTGAGTAACTATATTTCTGTATATGGTACGCTAATTGTGTTCGCGATAAAGGATCACACAGGAGTGATTCCAGAGCGATCCTGCTTCTTACGCGCGCGCTATCCGCTAGTCCCCGGTGGGGGTACATATGACACGGCGAAAATCGGAGCACTTTAGCCAATAACAGAGAATCGACTTCTTGCTATTTAAGAGCGCCGGGAGGTGTCATCCGCAGGCGCTAATCTTAATATCTATATGTGTGAAATATACAACAATATTATTAAGAAATATTTTTATCAGGAGACACGCTAAAGTACAAGATTTATATAAATTTGTTTAGCTTCTATTAAAAATCACTAACTATTGAGATTAAATTAAAAACTCAATAGTTTAATTAGTTGAATTTTTATTTAAATTATTATCATTTTTTACACATAGATTATTGCATACAATTTTAGTTTTAAATATAAAATATTTAATTTATCCTTTAATCATAAAAATTTTTTAAAAAATTATATCAGTGTTCAAGATAATTTAATTTTAGTTATAATATATGTATATATACATATATATAATATAATACGATATAATATTAGTTGTAAATATGTTTAATTTTTAAAAAATGTACAATTATAAATTAAAAAAAATTGCTTTATTATCTAAAATTATGATCTTCTGATTCTAAAATAAACTTTAGCACAGTATCACACTTTCTCGAAACTTGTTTCAAAAAAATTAAAATTTTATTAAATATAATATAAAATAAGTACATGTTAATTCAAACGACAAAAAAATTGTTGTGTAAAATTCCCAATAACCCGTTAGTATAAAAAAAGGATCAAAAGTATTCGTATCTCATTATATATACTTTATCTCTTCATCGTTACTATTTTATATGAATATTATGTGAAAGAAAATGTGATCTTCTTTTTTTCATTGCCGGGGGTTCGTCGAATAGATCTTCTGTTGGCTTTATGCATGTTATAATTAACATAAGCTTCTCCTCGTTAGTTCCTGGCGCTCGTTTTGCTGCAATTAGATATAAAACAGGTTGAAAATAATATTATTTTGATAAATATATATTACATATAATTGTAATATATATTATTATAATATATATATGTATATATATATATATATATATATATATACATGTATATATATGTATGTGTGTATGTATATATATATGTATATACATATATATATATATATATATATATATATATATATATTATATAAATAATAACAGAAAAGAATATTTGTTTTTAATTATAATTTCTAATTATGAAAAAAGATAATAGAATAAAAAAACATGATTTAAAGTTTAAAGTTTGCAATCATTTATTGGTAATTATCGTATTAATGTGGCAATATTGAAATAAGCAATATCTATAATAATAATGTATAAAGAATAAATAAGGCGCATACGTTATATGTATATAGTAATATGTATAAGAAATAATAATGAAAGAAATAATAATAAAAAAAAATAATAATAAATAACATTAATAATAAGAAATAATATAACTGAAATAAAATATGTCAAGTACAAAATATGAATTATTACAATAAGAATTTTTCTTTCTCTCTCTCTCTCTCTCTCTCTCTCTCTTTCTCTTTTTCTCCCTTTTATTTACCTTGTTCGTCACACTTATTAAAGATCTCTTTTGCTTGATTTAATTTGTTCTCATCGGAAATGATATATCCGTATTGTGTAAAAAGTTTATCTTTTATTATTGCACTCTTATCGTCAATCTGGAATTAATAAATTAGTATTATTTTTTTAATTAAATTAATTATACCCAGTTTATTAAAAAATAATATTTAAACAAAGTTATAGTCATATTTCATAGGTTTTTGAATACGATTCCAAGTTTCAAATTGCTCAATATGTCATTATTTTGAGAAATTAGTTTAGGATTGTTAAGAGTATCGTTTCTCTGTTTCGCATTTATGACATTTTTTATTATCAAACAATACTAATTACACAGGAGCAATTACTTACTTTCAATATAAGCAATAAGTCAAAATATGAATTTTGAAAAAAAATTATATTTATACGTATGGTAAAATAATTATATATAATAGTATGCTATTATTTTTTGTAAAGATGGCTCCATCTGACATGCTTGATATATATATATATATATATATGTTATTAAAGTATGTATATGTGTGTGCTTTTATATATACATACTATTTCCAGCTTGTATAATACACATCGAACCGCTTCTGGAATCCATGCTAAAATATATTAATTATGAATTTAATAATATAATTTTATATGTATGCTTATAATTTAGTAATTAAATTTGTAAACAAAACTTGTTATAAAAATTTGAATATACAATTTGTCTAATGTTATTTTCTACAAATCTTTCAAACAGAATTCTTGAATCAAAAAGTTGTTACGTTTTATTATTAAATTTTATTTTAATGTAGGAATATTACTGGCGCGAACAGAGAAAATTGTTTTTATACACTCTCATTTTCATTCAGAAAAAAATTGAAGACTTTATTTTAGAAAAAATGCCTATTATGATTATATTTGTGATAAAATTATTTATAATAAAACTAATATGTATAATAAATTTATAACATTTATAATAACGGTAATGAAATTTTTAAGTTCAAAGATCTTTCTTTAACCTTATTCAATAAAATGAATATATTTTATATAAATAATTTATATTCATTTAATTCAAATTTAAATTATGGTAATATTATTCACCTTGTGCATTCTGTTCCTTGAGACATTTTTGGTAGACTTGATAGAATATCTTCAATTTTTCACGATCAGCGGCGTAGGATATTGTCTGAAAAATATAACAAAATAGTTTTTCTCCACATTTACTAATTATTCATATTTAATATATTTTATTATAATGTGTCGTATTTATTTTTACTAGTACTAGTATTAGTATTATTACCGTTAGTATTATTAACTTTATGCTCACCTTAGATTTTCACGCAATTTTGAGAAGTTATTTCAAACCTATAGAATTCTGTCGCGAATATTGCATGAAATTACAAATCGGTTGAAGAGTATTTAAACAATTATTACAAATGTAACGTAATAAAAAAAAAAAAAATAAACAATTAACAACGGTTTAAGTACTGACTGATTTTTATATATTATCCATTTCTGTATAGTCTAATTTATTTCGTCGTACATATTTTATATATATTTTCTCTTTCTTATATTTCGATATTTCTAATTTTTATATTGTTTTATTACAAGTAAATTAAATATTTCTTTAAATAAAATAATATGGAATGTTTATGCGCAATGATTAAAAAAAATAAAATTTTTTCATTTTATTGTTTTATATTTCGGTTTGGAGAACTGCTAGTTTATATATTGTTTTTTACTTACTATCAAAAACGCAATAAGTAGAAGTGTCTTCATTGTTGTTTGGAATATAAAATGCACTGATTCGGTGTTACCTCGCACTTCGATACGATTACTGTTTGTACATCACTTCTTTAACTGCATTTATATCTACGTAGTAACAGTAACATGATGTTATATAATGTGACGAGATAATATTATGTTAATCCCTTGCTATATATGTAATATATTTTTTATAAGCTTGGGATTGATTATATATATGAAATAAGCAATATTTTACATCTAATTATTTTTTTTACTGTTCTAAAAAATTATAAATTACGCGATATTGATAGATATTGAAAAAAATGAAGAACTTGAATATATAAAAAATGCATTAATTACTCTGTAATGGTTCAGCGGTAATTTAGTTTACGTTACATCTTTAGCAAATAATCAAAAAAACCAAGAATTAATTGTGGATATTGGAAACTTGTTTTATTGGAATTTTTAACTTGTTGATTTGAGTCTGATAAATTAGAATAAAACACTATTCTGAAAAATACTGTGGCCTTATTTAAAAGTAATTTTTACAAAACATTAAAACTATATACTTATACGAGGTCTGTCAGAAAAGCAGTGAGATTAAATCTGTAACGCGCAAAGTGAGATCACTAGAAAATTATAATCAAACGGAATGTAAAGTAATTTTTCCTTTAAAAGCAATACAAGTTTTGATTTGTTTGGTTGCATTAATGTGTCAATGATATATCAAATTCGAAAATACGAAAAACGCAAACTTTGAATTTATAAAATTTTTTATAATAATAATATAAAAGAACAAAAATTATTGTTTATCTTAGCGTTATATTATTAACAAATATTTTTATCAGCAGACACGCTAAAGTACAAGATTTATAAATTTGTTTAGCTTCTATTAAAAATCATTAACTATAGAGATTAAATTAAAACTCAATAGTTTAATTAGTTGAATTTTTATTTAAATTATTATCATTTTTTACACATAGATTATTGCATACAATTTTAGTTTTAAATATAAAATATTTAATTTATCCCTTAATCATAAAAATTCTTTAAAAAATTATATCAGTGTTCAAGATAATTTAATTTTAGTTATAATATATGTATATACATATATATATATTGTTACGTCCCTGATCTTTCATCCCCTGAATATCATCCCTTGTGTCGTGGAGCTTCATCGTTAAGGGGGGTTGTTTATTGACAACCGCCCGGTGGTTGTTTTCAGGCTCCATGACAGTTTTTGGTCTGGCTGTCATCTCGTACGGACGTGACTTGACCAGAGAGCAATCTTCTTTCTTTCGCGTGTACATTAGTCATTGTATTTCATCATTGTATAAAGGATCATTTCTTCATAAGAGAGTGTATTTATTTCGCGAGCCGCGAGTGAGTGAGAGTGTGTGCGAGAGACGTCTTTTGCGAGAAAGAACGTCCGGAGGACGTAACAATATATATATATTATAATGTAATATAATATAATACGATATAATATTAGTTGTAAATATGTTTAATTTTTAAAAAATGTACAATTATAAATTTAAAAAAAATTGCTTTATTATCTAAAATTATGATCTTCTGATTCTAAAATAAACTTTAGCACAGTATCACACTTTCTCGAAACTTGTTTCAAAAAAATTATAATTTTATTAAATATAATATAAAATAAGTACATGTTAATTCAAACGACAAAAAAATTGTTGTGTAAAATTCCCAATAACCCGTTAGTATAAAAAATGGATCAAAAGTATTTGTATCTCATTATATATACTTTATCTCTTCATCGTTACTATTTTATATGAATATTATGTGAAAGAAAAAGTGATCTTTTTTTTTTCATTGCGGGGGTTTGTCGAGTAGATCTTTTATTGGCATTGTGCATGAAATAGTTAACATAAGCTTCTCCTCGTTAGTTCCTGGCGCTCGTTTTGCTGCAATTAGATATAAAACAGGTTGAAAATAATATTATTTTGATAAATAGATATTACATATAATTGTAATATATATTATTATAATATATATATGTATATATATATGTATGTGTGTATGTATATATATATGTATATATATATATATATATATATATATATATATATATATATATATAAATAATAACATAGAAAAGAATATTTGTTTTTAATTATAATTTCTAATTATGAAAAAAGATAATAGAATAAAAAAAAACATGATTTAAAGTTTAAAGTTTGCAATCATTTATTGATAATTATCGTATTAATGTGGCAATATTGAAATAAGCAATATTTATAATAATAATGTATAAAGAATAAATAAGGCGCATACGTTATATGTATATAGTAATATGTATAAGAAATAATAATGAAAGAAATAATAATAAAAAAAATAATAATAAATAACATTAATAATAAGAAATAATATATAAGAGTTTTAACATAAAAGAAATAATATAATTGAAATAAAATATGTCAAGTACAAAATATGAATTATTACAATAAGAATATTTTCTCTCTCTCTCTCTCTCTCTCTCTCTCTCTCTCTCTCTCTCTTTCTCTCTCTTTTTCTCTCTTTTATTTACCTTGTTCGTCACACTTAGTAAAGATCTCTTTTGCTTGATTTAATTTGTTTTCATCGGAAATTATATATCCGTAAATTGTAAAAAGTTTCTCTTTTATAACTACAGCCTTATCGTCAACCTGGATTAATAAATTAGTATTATTTTTTAAATAAATGAATTATACACTGTTTATTAAAAAATAATATTTAAACAAAACTATATAGTCATATTCTATAGTTTTTTTAATACGATTCCAAGTTTCAAATTGCTCAATATGTCATTATTTTGAGAAATTAGTTTAGGATTGTTAAGAGTATTGTTTCTCTGCTTCGCATTTATGACATTTTTTATTATCAAACAATACTAATTACACAGGAGCAATTAATTAATTTCAATATAAGCAATAAGTCAAAATATGAATTTTGAAAAAAAATTATAATTATACGTATGGTAAAATAATTATATATAATAGTATGCTATTAATTTTTTGTAAAGACGGTTCCACCTGACATGCTTGATATATATATATATATATATATATATATATATATATATGTTATTAAAGTATGTATATGTGTGTGCTTTTTATATATACATACTATTCCAGCTTGTATAATACACATCGAACCGCTTCTGGAATCCATGCTAAAATATATTAATTATGAATTTAATTATATAATTTTATATGTATGCTTATAATTTAGTAATTAAATTTGTAAACAAAACTTGTTATAAAAATTTGAATATACAATTTGTCTAATGTTATTTTCTACAAATCTTTCAAACAGAATTCTTGAATCTAAAAGTTGTTACGTTTTATTATTAAATTTTATTTTAATGTAGTAATATTACTGGCGCGAACAGAGAAAATTGTTTTTATACACTCTCATTTTCATTAGAAAAAAATTGAAGACTTTATTTTAGAAAAAATGCCTATTATGATTATATTTGTGATAAAATTATTTATAATAAAACTAATATGTATAATAAATTTATAACATTTATAATAACGGTAATGAAATTTTAAGTTCAAAGATCTTTCTTTAACCTTATTCAATAAAATGAATATATTTTATATAAATAATTTATATTTATTTAATCCAAATTTAAATTATGGTAATATTACTCACCTTGTGCATTCTGTTCCTCGAGACAAGTTTGGAAGATTTGATACATTATCTTCAATTTTTCTTGATCAGCGGCGTAGGATATTGTCTGAAAAATATAACAAAATAGTTTTTCTCCACATTTACTATATATTCATATTTAAAAATGGTAATAATTTCGTCAACCATATCTGGCTATAAATACTATTTATTAAATTTCACGACGTTTCGGCCATGGGTTTCGGTCCTTATCAAGTGCTACTTAATACCGCATTATTGTAATAACACTACTTATTTGATCTTAGGTCATGACGTGATCATGTACTGTCATGACCTAAGATCAAATAAGTAGTGTTATTACAATAATGCGGTATTAAGTAGCACTTGATAAGGACCGAAACCCATGGCCGAAACGTCGTGAAATTTAATAAATAGTATTTATAGCCAGATATGGTTGACGAAATTATTACCATTTTTAATTATTGACTGGTGACTTCTTAGTTCTTTATATATATAATTCATATTTAATATATTTTATTATAATGTATCGTATTTATTTTTACCAGTACTAGTATTAGTATTATTACCGTTAGTATTATTAACTTTTTGCTCACCTTAGATTTTCACGCAATTTTGAGAAGTTATTTCAAACCTATAGAATTCTGTCGCGAATATTGTATAAAATTACAAATCGGTTGAAGAGTCTTTAAACAATTATTACAAATGTAACGTAATAAAAAAAAAAAAAATAATTAACAACGGTTTAAGTACTGACTGATTTTTATATATTACTCATTTCTGTATAGTTTAATTTATTTCGTCGTACATATTTTTAAATATATTTTTTCTTTCTTATATTTCGATATTTCTAATTTTTATATTGTTTTATTACAAGTAAATTAAATATTTGTTTAACTAAAATAATATGGAATTTTTATGCGCATTATTAAATATGTTGCGCAATGATTAAAAAAAATAAAATTTTTTCATTTTATTGTTTTATATTTTGGTTTGGAGAACTGCTAGTTTATATATTGTTTCCTACTTACTATCAAAGACGCAATAAGTAGAAGGGTCTTCATTGTTGTTTGGAATATAAAATGTACTGATTCGGTGTTACCTCGCACTTCGATACGGTTACTGTTTGTACAGCTCTTCTTCAACTGCATTTATATCTACATAGTAACAGTAACATAATGTTATATAATGTGACGAGATAATATTATGTTAATCCCTTGCTATATATGTAATATAATTTTTTATAAGCTTGGGATTGATTATATATATGAAATAAGCAATATTTTATATCTAATTATTTTTTTTACTGTTCTAAAAAGTTATAAATTACGCGATATTGATAGATATTGAAAAAAATGAAGAACTTGAATATATAAAAAATGCATTAATTACTCTGTAATGGTTCAGCGGTAATTTAGTTTACGTTACATCTTTAGCAAATAATCAAAAAAACCAAGAATTAATTGTGGATATTGGAAACTTGTTTTATTGGAATTTTTAACTTGTTGATTTGAGTCTGATAAATTAGAATAAAACACTATTCTGAAAAATACTGTGGCCTTATTTAAAAGTAATTTTTACAAAACATTAAAACTATATACTTATACGAGGTCTGTCAGAAAAGCAGTGAGATTAAATCTGTAACGCGCAAAGTGAGATCACTAGAAAATTATAATCAAACGGAATGTAAAGTAATTTTTCCTTTAAAAGCAATACAAGTTTTGATTTGTTTGGTTGCATTAATGTGTCAATGATATATCAAAATTCGAAAATACGAAAAACGCAAACTTTGAATTTATAAAATTTTTTATAATAATAATATAAAAGAACAAAAATTATTGTTTATCTTAGCGTTATATTATTAACCAATATTTTTATCAGCAGACACGCTAAAGTACAAGATTTATATAAATTTGTTTAGCTTCTATTAAAAATCATTAACTATAGAGATTAAATTAAAAACTCAATAGTTTAATTAGTTGAATTTTTATTTAAATTATTATCATTTTTTACACATAGATTATTGCATACAATTTTAGTTTTAAATATAAAATATTTAATTTATCCCTTAATCATAAAAATTTTTTAAAAAATTATATCAGTGTTCAAGATAATTTAATTTTAGTTATAAATATGTATATATATATATATATATATATATATATATATATACAATATATACATATATATAATATAATGTAATGTAATATAATACGATATAATATTAGTTGTGTAAATATGTTTAATTTTTAAAAAATGTACAATTATAAATTTAAAAAAAATTGCTTTATTATCTAAAATTATGATCTTCTGATTGTAAAATGAACTTTAGCACAGTATCACACTTTCTCGAAACTTGTTTCAAAAAAATTAAAATTTTATTAACTATAATATAAAATAAGTACATGTTAATTCAAGCGACAAAAAAAATTGTTATGTAAAATTCCCAATAACCCGTTAGTATAAAAAAAGGATCAAAAGTATTCGTATCTCATTATATATACTTTATCTCTTCATCGTTACTATTTTATATGAATATTATGTGAAAGAAAAAGTGATCTTCTTGTTTTCATTGCGGGGGTCCGTCGATTAGATCTTTTATTGGCTTTGTGCATGTTATAGTTAACATAAGCTTCTCTTTGTTAGTTCCTGTCGCTCGTTTTGCTGCAATTAAATATAAAACAGGTTATTGAAAATAATATTATTTTGATAAATAGATATTACATATAATTGTAATATATATTATTATAATATATATATATATATATATATATATATATACTATATATAAATAATAACATAGAAAAGAATATTTGTTTTTAATTATAATTTCTAATTATGAAAAAAGATAATAGAATAAAAAAAACATAATTTAAAGTTTAAAGTTTGCAACCATTTTTGGTAATTATTGTATTAATGTGGTAATATTGAAATAAGCAATATCTATAATAATAATGTATAAAGAATAAATAAGGCGCATACGTTATATGAATATAGTAATATGTATAAGAAATAATAATAAAATATATACACACACACATACAATATTATCATAATATTTTATACAACATATTATACATATAATAATTGTGATATTAAATAAAATATTTACATAAAAAGATATGATATATATAAATAAAATATGATATATACATATATATATATATATATATATATATTGTATATATCATATCTTTAAATTTATATATATATATATATATATATATATATATCATATCTTTTATGTAAAATATTTTATTTAATATCACAATTATTATATATGTATAATATGTTGTATAAAATATTATGATAATATTGTATGTGTGTGTGTATATATTTTATTATTATTTCTTTGATTATTTCTTTGATTATTATTTCTATTTGATTAAAATTGATAAAATATATAATATTTTTATATATGTATATATCCGGATCAAATACATATATATTTATTTCTTTATGATTATATATTAAATTATTAATTAAATTATTATTTATTTGATTTATTTTGTCGAGTTTTTTCAACAATTTCTTAATCAAGTTGTTTATTTTACTATAAAATCATGATAATTTAGAATTAATATGATAAAAGCATTTGGCAATTACCGTTGATTGTTAATTTTAATTGTCTAGGGGATAGAAATGAAAACTTTGGAAAAGTAAAGTTGATAAATATTCTCTCTCTCTCTCTCTCTCTCTCTCTCTCTCTCTCTTTCTTTCTTTCTCTCTAATGCGAGCTTTCCAACCATGATGAACTTACGCGAATACAATTATGCATACGATAGTCTAAATAATTTATTTATTATGATTTAGTGGCATATTAGTGTTTTTAAAAATACGTGTAGAGATATCAAAATTAACGAGATAATTGTAAAGATTGCAGTTGCAATAATAAATATATCAAAACTATAGCAAGCGAAAACTGAGTCTACTTTATATTTTTTTAATAAGGATTTAAAATAAAATTTTTTTATTTTATTGTTTCATATTTTGGTTTGACAAACGGCTAGTGTATGTATTGCTTCCTACTTACTACTAAACACGCAATAAGCACAAGAGTCTTCATTGTTGTTTGGAATATAAAATGCACTGATCCGGTGTTACCTATCCTACTTTGATTCGATTACTGTTTGTGCATCATTTCTTCAACTGTATTTATATATCTACAAAATAATAGTAACATGATGTTATATAATGTGACGAGGTAATATTATATTAATCCCATGTTATATATAAAATATAATTTAAAATATAATTATAGGCTTGGGATTGGTCATATTAATCATAAATTTAAATTGTTTATAGGTTTGGGATTGGTCATATTGAAATGAGCAATATTGTATATCTAATTATTTTTTTTATTGTTCTAAAAAGTTGTACACCACGCGATATTAATAAATATTAAGGAAAATGAAGAACTTGAATATATAAAAAATGCATTAACTAGTCTGTAATGGTTCAATGGTAATTTATCATTGTTATTTCTAGCAAATCTTAGAATTAATTGTCGATATTGAAAGCTTGTTCAATTGGAATTATCAACTTGTTGATTTGAATCTGATAAATTAGAATAAAACACTATACTGAGAAATACGAGAAATACTCGTACTGTGGTCTCATATAAGAAATAATTTTTACAAAACATTAAATTTTAATGTACTTATATACGAGGTCTATCAGAAACGCAATGAGATTAAATTTGTAGCGCGCAAAGTAAGAACACTAGAAAATTATAATCAAGTGGAATGTAAAGTACAGTCCTTTCTTTAAAAGCAATACAAGTTTCTATTTGTTTGGTTGCATTAATGTATCAATGATACATCAAAATTTGAAAATACGAAAAACGCAAACTTCGAATTTATATAAAACTTTTATAATAATATAAAAGAATTAAAATAATTGTTTATTCTATCGTTTAATGTATGATGAGGAAATATTTTTATCAGCAATCATCTTATAAGAACGAGATTCATGTAAATAATTTATAAAATACGCATTTATTTTTCACTGTATCTATAAAAAATTAATTTTCATAACTGGATATCAAATAGTTTTAATTATTATAAATATAATATTTTATAAGATATATATGTATAATAAATAGTTAAATTTATGTTGATAATTTACTGATAATTTTTTAATAATATATTTTTATATAATCTTTTATAAAAAAATATTATTTTTATAATATTTTAATGGTATTATAGATAATGTAAAAGACAGGGATTTTTTTATAACATTCCCAAAGAGGATGATACTTTATTGAAATAGAGACATAAGGGAATCAATTACAAGTCATGAGATAAGATTTTATAGAGCCTCGCTAAAAACGTTAAATTATTTGCTCGCTAGTTTGATTAATTTCGATTAATTTCTACAACTCATATATATATATATATATATATATATAAATATATATAATAATATAATCCCATCTAATACCATTTGCTCTAGAATTGTTAACAATCGGGAAACAATTTTCTGCCAAATACGGCTGTAAATCCAGGGCCTACTGTGTCCTCGAGTGCGCCCCAATTGCAATCAAAAGTTGAAAGCATATCCTAACATCAAAAGTTGGGTGTAACACCAGAGAAGATCTGTCACTAACAGTGCGACGACAAATTAACGCAACAAGCTGAGAACAGATTTGTCAATCGCAAACTGAAAACAGATTTGCACCAAATACTCCGCAAATCGAAGAAAAATAATTAAGTAAAAAAAGAAGAAAGCAAATAAAAATTTAATACTTGATAATAATTTTAAACAAGTAATAACATGTCAATTCAAGCAACAAGAAAAATCTTTGTGTAAAATTCTCAAAAACTCGTTAGTATAAAGGATCAAAAGTATTCTTATCTCATTATACAATATATATACTTTATCTCTTCATCTTTATTATTTTATATGAATACTTATGAATATTATGTGAAAGAAAAAATGATCTTCTTTCTTTCATTGGGGGGGTTTGTCGAGTAGATCTTTTATTGGCATTGCACATGTTATAATTATCATAAGCTTCTCCTCGTTAGTTCCTGGCCGTTGTTTTGCTGCAATTTGATATAAAACAGCTTATTCAAATTAATATTGAATTTAATAAATAGATATTACATATAATTGTAATATATGTATATTATTATAATATATATTATATATACTATATATAAATATTAACAGAAAAAATTATTTGTTTTTAATTATAATATTTCTAATTATGAAAAAAGATAATAGAATAAAAAAAACATAATTTAAAGTTTAAAGTTTGCAACCATTTATTGGTAATTATCGTATTAATGTGGTAATATTGAAATAAGCAATATCTATAATAATAATGTATAAAGAATAAATAAGGCGCATATATATGTATAATAAGAAATAATAATAAAGAAAATAATAATAAAAAAATAATAAAAAATAACATAATGATAATAAGAAATAATATAACTTAAACAAAATATGCCAAGTATAAAATATAAATTATTAACAATAGGAATATTTTTTCTCTCTCTCTGTTTCTCTCTCTCTATCTCTCTCTCTCTCTCATTTACCTTGTTCGTCACACTTAGTAAAGATCTCTTTTGCTTGATTTAATTTGCTCTCATCGGAAATTATATATCCGTAATTTGTGAAAAGTTCATTTTTTATAATTACAGCCTTATCGTCAATCTGGAATTAATAAATTAATATTATTTTTCATTAAATGAATTATACGCAGTTTATTAAAAAATAAAATTTAAACAAAATTGTATTCCATAGTTTTTTTTAATACGATTTCAAGTTTCAAATAGCTCAATATGTCATTATTTTGAGAAATTATTTTGGAATCGTTACGAGTATCGTTTGTCTGCTTCGCATTTACGTCAATTTTGATTATCGAATAATACTAATTACACAAGAGCAATTACTTTCAATACAAGCAATAAGTCAAAATATGAATTTTGAAAAAAATTATAATTATACATATAGTAAAATAATTGTATAGTAATAATTCTTGCAATTGCTATAATTGTTTTATAAGTAAAAAGGGCTTCTCTTTTCTTCTGGAAATACAATTATATTAATTATTTATTTTAACGTAATTAATTTTAAAAATTCTTGTTTTTTATAGATAAATTACTTTAATTTTGAAGTCTTCGGTTATGTATAAGAGTACGTTATTATTTTTTTGTAAAGACGGCTCCACCTGGCATACTTGATATATACAGGGTGTCCCATAATTCGCGAACCACCGCGAATGAGCAGATAGAGCGTGTTAAACTGAATAGAAAAGTTCTGTATCATTTTGCGATGTTCGCAATAATTATTGAGTTATTAACTAAAATATCTAAACGAATGAGCGGGTAGAAAGCGGTAGGCCGGACTCGGTGTGCATGTCGGCTGACTTATTTGTTATATGCCGCTTAATATCAAAAGTATCATCTTACTTTTCGGCGCCACTACATTGGTCGCCGCTCGCTGCATGACGCCGCTTCTCGATCAAATAATGTTTTCTACCTGCTTATTTGTTTAGATATTGTACTAAATAACTCAATAATTATTGCGAATATCGCAAAATAATACATGAATTTTCTATATATATATATGTTATTAAAGTATGTATGTGTGTGCTTTTTATATATACGTACTATTCCATGCTTGTAAAATGTACATCGAACCACTTCTGGAGTCCATTCTAAAATATATTATTTATGAATTTAATAATATATTTTTATATGTATGCTTATAATTTAGTAATTAAATTTATAAATAAAACTTGTTATAAAAATTTTAATATACAATTTGTTTAATGTTATTTTCTACAAATCTTTTAAATAAAATTTTTGAATATAAAAGTTGTTACGTTTTATTATTAAATTTTATTTTAATGTAGTAATATTACTGGCGCGAACAGAGAAAATTGTTTCTTTACACTTTCATTTTTATTCAGAAAAAAAATGGAAGACTTTATTTTAGAAAAAATGCCTATTATGATTATATTTGTGATAAAATTATTTATAATAAAATTATTATGTATAATAAATTTATAACATTTATAATAACGGTAATTTTAAAGTTCAAAGATCTTTCTTTAACCTTATTCAATAAAATGAATATATTTTATATAAATAATTTATATTTATTTAATCCAAATTTAAATTATGGTAATATTACTCATCTTGTGCATTCTGTTTTTGAGACAAGTTTGGTAGATTTGATACATTATCTTCAATTTTTCCCGATCAGCGGCGTAGGATATTGTCTGAAAAATATAACAAATTAGTTTTTCTCCACATTTTCTAATTATTCATATTTAATATATTTTATTATAATGTATCGTATTTATTTTTACCAGTACTAGTATTAGTATTATTACCGTTAGTATTATTAACTTTTTGCTTACTTTAGATTTTTACGCAATTTTGAGAAGTTATTTCAAACCTATAGAATTCTGTTGCGAATATTGCATGAAATTACAAATCGGTTGAAGAGTCTTTAAACAATTATTCCAAATGTAACGTAATAAAAGAAAACAATTAACAACGGTTTAAGTACTGACTGATTTTTATATATTATCCATTTCTGTATAGTCTAATTTATTTCGTCGTACATATTTTTATATATATTTTCTCTTTCTTATATTTCGATATTTCTAATTTATATATTGTTTTATTACAAGTAAATTAGATATTTCTTTAAATAAAATAATATGGAATGTTTATGCGCAATATCAAATATGTTGCGCAATGATTAAAAAAAATAAAATTTTTTCATTTTATTGTTTTATATTTCGGTTTGGAGAACTGCTAATTTATATATTGCTTTCTACTTACTATTAAAAACGCAATAAGTAGAAGTTTCTTCATTGTTGTTTGGAATATAAAATGCACTGATCCGGTGTTACCTCGCACTTCGATACGATTATTGTTTTGTACATTACTTCTTTAACTGCATTTATACCTACGTAGTAACAGTAACATAATGTTATATAATTTGACGAGATAATATTATGTTAATCCCTAGCTATATATGTAATATAATTTTTTATAAGCTTGGGATTGATTATATTGAAATAAGCAATATTTTATATCTAATTATTTTTTTTACTGTTCTAAAAAGTTATAAATCACGCGATATTGATAGATATTGAAAAAAATGAAGAACTTGAATATATAAAAAATGCATTAATTACTCTGTAATGGTTCAGCTGTAATTTAGTTACCGTTACATCTGTAGCAAATAATCAAAAAAACCAAGAATTAATTGTGGATATTGGAAACTTGTTTTATTGGAATTTTTAACTTGTTGATTTGAGTCTGATAAATTAGAATAAAACACTATACTGAAAAATACTGTGGCCTTATTTAAAAGTAATTTTTACAAAACATTAAAACTTTAATATACTTATACGAGGTCTGTCAGAAAAGCAGTGAGATTAAATCTGTAACGCGCAAAGTGAGATCACTAGAAAATTATAATCAAACGGAATGTAAAGTAATTTTTCCTTTAAAAGCAATACAAGTTTTGATTTGTTTGGTTGTATTAATGTGTCAATGATATATCAAAATTCGAAAATACGAAAAACGCAAACTTTGAATTTATAAAATTTTTTATAATAATAATATAAAAGAACAAAATTATTTTTTATTTTAGCGTTAAATATATTTGTTATGTTCCTTCAATTAGAGGATCGGTGATGGAAGAACGATGGAATGATTTACACGATATATATGAAACTGAGCAACTATATTTCTGTATATGGTACGCTAATTGTGTTCGCGATAAAGGATCACACAGGAGTGATTTCAGAGCGATCCTGCTCCTTACGCGCGCGCTATCCGCTAGTCCCCGGTGGGGGTACATATGACACGGCGAAAATCGGAGCACTTTAACCGATAACAGAGAATCGACTTCTTGCTATTTAAGAGCGCCGGGAGGTGTCATCCGCAGGCGCTAATCTTAATATTTATGTGTGAAATATACAACAATATTATTAAGAAATATTTTTATCAGCAGACACGCTAAAGTACAAGATTTATATAAATTTGTTTATCTTCTATTAAAAACCACTAACTATAGAGATTAAATTAAAAACACAATAGTTTAATTAGTTGAATTTTTATTTAAATTATTATCATTTTTTACACATAGATTATCGCATACAATTTTAGTTTTAAATATGAAATATTAAATTTATTTTTTAACCATAAAAAAATTTTATTTAAATTATATCAGTGTTCAAGATAATTTTAATTATGTTATAACATATGTATGTACATATATATAATATAATGTAATATAATACGATATAATATTAGTTGTAAATATGTTTAATTTTAAACAAAATGTACAATTATAAATTTAAAACATTGTTTTATTAGCTAAAATTATGATCTTCTGATTCTAAAATAAACTTTAGCACAGTATCACACTTTCTCGAAACTTGTTTCAAAAAAATTAAAATTTTATTAAATATAATATAAAATAAGTACATGTTAATTCAAACGACAAAAAAAATTGTTGTGTAAAATTCCCAATAACCTGTTAGTATAAAAAAAGGATCAAAAGTATTCGTATCTCATTATATATACTTTATCTCTTCATCGTTACTATTTTATATGAATATTATGTGAAAGAAAAAGTGATCTTTTTTTTTTCATTGCGGGGGTTTGTCGAGTAGATCTTTTATTGGCATTGTGCATGAAATAGTTAACATAAGCTTCTCCTCGTTAGTTCCTGGCGCTCGTTTTGCTGTAATTAGATATAAAACAGGTTGAAAATAATATTATTTTGATAAATAGATATTACATATAATTGTAATATATATTATTATAATATATATATGTATATATATATATATATATATATATATATATACATGAATATATATGTATGTGTGTATATATATATATATATATATATATATATTATATATAAATAATAAGATAGAAAAGAATATTTGTTTTTAATTATAATTTCTAATTATGAAAAAAGATAATAGAATAAAAAAAGCATGATTTAAAGTTTAAAGTTTGCAACCATTTATTGGTAATTATCGTATTAATGTGGCAATATTGAAATAAGCAATATCTATAATAATAATGTATAAAGAATAAATAAGGCGCATACGTTATATGTATATAGTATTATGTATAAGAAATAATAATGAAAGTAATAATAATAAAAAAAATAATAATAATTAACAACATAATAATAAGAAATAATATAACTGAACTAATATATATGTCAAGTACAAAATATGAATTATTACAATAAGAATATTTTCTCTCTCTTTTTCTCTCTTTCATTTACCTTGTTCGTCACACTTATTAAAGATTTCTTTTGCTTGATTTAATTTGTTCTCATCGGAAATTATATATCCGTAATGTGTAAAAAGTTTATCTTTTATAATTACAGCCTTATCGTCAACCTGGAATTAATAAATTAGTATTATATATAAATTAAATGAATTATACACACTTTATTAAAAAATAATATTTAAACAAAGTTATAGTCATATTTCATAGATTTTTAATACGATTCCGAATTTGAAATTGCTCTATATGTCATAATTTTGAGAAATTGTTGATTATTGTTTGTTTGCTTCGCATTTCGAAAATTTTGATTACACAAGAACAATTATTTTCAATACAAGTAACGAGTCAAAATACGAACTTTGAAAAAATTTGTAGTTATACACATAGTAAAATAATTATATAGTAATAATTTTTGCAATTGTGCTAATTGTTTTGTAAGTAAAAAGGATTTATCTTTTCTTCTGGAAATAAAATTATATTAATAATTTATATTATAACATAATTAATTTAAAAAATTCTTTTTTTTATAGATTTTTTATACTTTAATTTCTTAAAGCCTTCGGTTATATATAAGAATATGTTATTGATTTTTTGTAAAGATGGCTCACTTGACATGCTTGATATGTGTATATGTTATAAAAGTATGTATATGTGTGTGTGTGTGTTTTAATATGTATATACGTACTACTTCACGATCGTAGAATATACATCGGACCACTTCTGGAGTAAAATCTAAAATATATTAATTATGAATTTAATAGCATAATTTTATATGTATGCTTATAATTTAGTAATTAAATTTGTAAACAAAACTTGTTATAAAAGTTTGAATATACAATTTGTCTAATGTTATTTTCTACAAATCTTTCAAACAGAATTCTTGAATCAAAAAGTTGTTACGTTTTATTATTAAATTTTATTTTAATGTAGGAATATTACTGGCCCGAACAGAAAAAATTGTTTCTTTACACTCACATTTTCATTCAGAAAAAAATTGAAGATTTTATTTTAGAAAAAATGCCTATTATGATTATATTTGTGATAAAATTATTTATAATAAAACTAATATGTATAATAAATTTATAACATTTATAATAACGGTAATGAAATTTTTAAGTTCAAAGATCTTTCTTTAACCTTATTCAATAAAATGAATATATTTTATATAAATAATTTATATTCATTTAATTCAAATTTAAATTATGGTAATATTACTCACCTTGTGCATTCTGTTCCTTGAGACATTTTTGGTGGATTTGATAGAATAACTTCAATTTTTCACGATCAGCGGCGTAGGATATTGTCTGAAAAATATAACAAAATAGTTTTTCTCCACATTTACTAATTATTCATATTTAATATATTTTATTATAATGTATCGTATTTATTTTTACGAGTACTAGTATTAGTATTATTACCGTTAGTATTATTAACTTTATGCTTACCTTAGATTTTCACGCAATTTTGAGAAGTTATTTCAAACCTATAGAATTCTGTCGCGTATATTGCATGAAATTACAAATTGGTTGAAGAGTCTTTAAACAATTATTCCAAATGTAACGTAATAAAAAAAAACAATTAACAACGGTTTAAGTACTGACTGATTTTTATATATTATCTATTTCTGTATAGTCTAATTTATTTCGTACATATTTTTATATATATTTTCTTTTTCTTATATTTCGATATTTCTAATTTATATATTGTTTTATTACAAGTAAATTAGATATTTCTTTAAATAAAATAATATGGAATGTTTATGCACAATATCAAATATGTTGCGCAATGATTAAAAAAAATAAAATTTTTTTATTTTATTGTTTTATATTTTGGTTTGGAGAACTGCTAGTTTGTATATTGCTTTCTACTTACTATCAAAAACGCAATAAGTAGAAATGTCTTCATTGTTGTTTGGAATATAAAATGCACTGATCTGGTGTTACCTCGCACTTCGATACGATTACTGTTTGTACATCACTTCTTCAACTGCATTTATATCTACGTAGTAACAGTAACATGATGTTATATAATGTGACGAGATAATATTATGTTAATTCCGTGTTATATATTAAATATAATTTTTGTAGGCTTGCGGTTGATCATATTGAAATGGTATCTGATTATTTTTTTATCGTTATAAAAAGTTATACACACACACATTATGCGATGTTGCAGTAATTAAGGGAGTGGAAGAACTTGAATATACATATAAAAATAGCATTAATTACTCTGTAATGGTTCAGCGGTAATTTATCGTTTATTTCTCGAGCAAATCTCAGAATCAATTGTCGATATTAAAAGCTTGTTTAACAGAAATTTTTAACTTGTTGATTAGTCTGATAAATTAGAAAATAAATACTATACTATAAAAGTCTTGGGGCCTCATATAAGAAATAATTTTTACAAAACGTTAAACATTTAGGTACTTATATACGAGGTCTGTCAGAAAAGCAATGAGATTAAATCTGTAACGCGCAATGTGAGAACACTAAAAATCATAATCAAGCGGAATGTGTAGTCCTTTTTTTAAAAGCAATACAAGTTTTGTTTTGTTTGGTTGCATTAATGTATCAATGATATATGACACTCAAAAAATGCGAAAATATGAAAAATGCAAACTTCGAGTTTATATAAATTTTATAATAATATAAAAGAATTAACATTATTATTTATTCTATTGTTTAATATATGATTAGACAATATTTTTATGAGCAGACATGCTATAGGTACGAGAGTCTGATAAATAATTTATAAAATACGCATTTTATTTATTGTATCTATATAAAAAAATTAAAAATAATTTTCATAACTGGATATAAAATAGTTTCAGTTATTATAATTATAATATTTTATTATATATATGTATAATATAATATTTTGATTGTATTATAAGTAGTATTTGATTGTATTAATGTAAGAGACAGGTTTTTTATAACATTCTCAGAGAGGATGATACTTTATTGAAATATAGACATAAAAGGGAATCAATTACAAGTCATGAGATAAAATTTTATATAAAGCCTCCCTAAAAAGGTTTTATTATATCAGAAGTACTATATAATATTTAATCATGCACACAGGATTGCTGCATTGCTAGTACTTTATATATAAATGTTACATAAAAGATGATATGTACTTCTTCTTTTTATTAGGGTTTATCGAATAGATCTTTTACATTTATTGCACACTGTATAATCATCATTGTCTTTTCATCATTGCTTCCATCGCCTTCATATCCTGCAATTTGAAATAAAACAAGTTTATAAAATTATATTGATTTTATTATGTATAATTTTAATATATATTATATATATTATTATTATTATTATATAATACGTATATATTATACATACGTATAATAACATGGAAAAATTAAAGTTTGTTTTAGTTCCAATTTCTAATTATGTAAAATAGAGACATAAAAAATTGTTAGTTTCTTGCAGCGATTAATTGACCATTATCGTAATTATATATATATATATATATATGTATATATATATATATATATGTATATATATATATATGTATAATTACGGTATAAGCAAAATATAGAAATAATAAATAAAAATAAAAAATAAAATTAAGTAATATAATATTGTATATGCACTGCAAAAAAAGGTTTATTAAATTAACAAATATTTAGTTCAGTACGTTCAAATAAATAATTTATTTGAAACAAATAAATATTTATTTGATATAAAGAATATTTATTTGATATAAAAAATCTTTTTGATTTGTGAATATGATACAAAATATGTTTTACTAAATATTAAATATATTTAATTTACCTTGCTCATAGCACGATGAAACCAGCGTTTTTGCTTGATTTAAGTTACCTTCATCAGAGATGATTTTTTCAAATCCGGTTAAAAGTTCATCTTTTTTAATTATACCTTCGTCATCAATCTGAAAGATTGTAAAATAATAATATTTATTATTAACAAATTGAAAGAATCTATAAATTTACAAAAATCGTTTAAGCTATACACGATTTAATCAAAACATATTAGTAATTTAAAAGAGATAAAAGAGAAGGCATTTTTATTATTAATTTAAAGATTATTTCTATGATTTAATTGTAACACAAGTGAAAAATGTAAAAAATTATATAAAAATTAGATGACACAGTAATGTTGTTTTATACTTTATTTTTTTCAATGTACAAAGTAAAATGATATTAGCACTTTTATCTTAAAATGTCTGAATAAATTATATACATTTCATCTGTATATGATGATTTATCTATAAGAAATGTATATATGCGTACCAGTTCCATGTTTTGGAGCATACATTTCATCACTGGTGCGGTCCATTCTAAAATATATAAATTATAAATTTATTAATATATTTTTATATATTTTATTTGTAATTTAATCGACAATTAAATCGATAAAGAAAACGTATTTAAAAATATATAAATATACAATTTATTTGTCTAATATTATCTTCTATGCAAAACTATTTGTTGCATTTTATTATTAAATTATATTTCAATGTAGTAATATTACTAGTCTATAGTCTACACTCTCTTTTTCATTTTGAAAGAAAAATATTAAAGATCTTGTAATGAAGACCTTATAATAAAACTATTCGAAAGCTGTAAAGTATTAAAAAATTATTTTTTTAACTTTATTCAATAAATATATGTATATGATATTTTATAATTTTGTAATCATAATATTTTTGCAATATTACTCACCCGGCGCACTGAGTGTATCGAGGCAAGTTTGATAATTATTATAGAATGCCTTCAATTTTTCAGGATCAGCGGCGTAGGAAATTGTCTGAAAAAAATATTTTCTTCACATTTTCGAATTATTCACATTTATTATATACTATTTTATTTTTATTATTATTAGTATTATTATTAACTTTTTGTGTATACCGTAATTCGCAAAAATACGTATAGAGAGGTATTAAAATTAACGGGAGGTTAAATTTGTAAAAAGACTTTACTGTAGTTGCAATAATGATGTATCAAAATTCCAAAATTCAAGAATACAAGAAGCGCGAAAATTGAATCTATTTTAGATTTTATTTTATGACTTGTAAAAAAATATTGTATAAAATAATTTCTTAAATATAAAATTATTTTTGTTATTCTATATTGGTTTGGAGAAACTGCTAATTTATGTATTATTTTTTACTTACCAGCAGACAGGCAATTATCACGAGAGTCTTCATTCTGCTGTTGTGGAATATAAATTGCACTTTTTGTGTTTCTGTGTTTCCTTCCACTTAGATTCGACAACTGTTTTACATCGACACTTCAACTGTATTTATAGGTACATACAAAGTGATTGATGATGTAATGTATTTTTAATTACACACTATAAACATGCGCACAAGCATCAATGTACGCAGATGATTTTGATGTTACTGAGTAGAGCAAATTTATTTAATTGATTTCTTGATGTGTCATGAAATTATACCTTATAAGAATAATTAAACGAAGCAAAAAGGAATTTAAATATAGGAAATGAGAATTGTTTACTATTAATTTTTATATAATAATACGAGATCCAACATGCGCTGTTTATATAAATTCTACATCTTATTTTTATAGATATAAAAAAATTAAATAATGAAAAATTAAATAATAAAAAAATAAAAAATTAAAGGACAAAATTGTAAAATTATGAATGGAAAATAAAGATTAATTGAATGATAAATATATAACAATAAGTAATAAATATCTTTAATTTTACTGTTATAACTTATTAACAGTTAGCTGTGAGTGAGAAATTAAAATTAAAAATTGTGTACAAATGTTATGCATATTTTACTTATTCATTTATTATAATCATGTCATATTTTGTCATATCTGTAATAATAATGATTGATAATATTATGTATATTTGTTGAATAATGTATAAATTCATTCAGGTAGCAACATTGATAAATATACATAGAGTAGAGTAGTACTTTCAAAACAAATTCTATACATTTATTCTATATATATATATAATATATATATATATATATTGTGAATGAGTTTGGTTGTTTGACTGAATTAATTAGCACAGTTTGGAAGTAATTCCGTTCCAGATATTTCAACCATGTAATTAGATTAAATGTGTGTATAAACATATTACCAGCTAGAAATGCGTTACACTTTTAAAGCTGGTAATTTTTTACTCATTTAGGTTACTTAGCTTCTGATTTTGTACTAATGCAAGACAATGATTTGTGTGTGTGTGAAAGAGAGATTTCTAATCATTTTAATTATTTTCAATATATTTCTTAATGTCGATAGAAATATTAATGATGAAGAAAATCATACGTCGGATTAGAGAGCAAACTCTGTTTGTTTGATCTTTGCATTACTTTTTTGCTCTATTATTTGTTGAATAATTTTTTATCTTGATATCAACAGCGGAGATTTCCAAGGTTCGAGAAGAATAAAGTAAGATCTTTGCAAGATTTACGATTACACGTTTTACACAACACGTTTAGGATTGTTCTATTCTCGGAAAATCTATGATTATTAGATCGTGCATAGTAATTGATTATTTTCATTTTTTCTCGGAACGAGATATATATACAGAGTATCCGGTAACTAACGGACCAATGATTAAGAGCGAATTCTCTGGCTAATTTGGAGACGATTTTTTCTTAGCAAAAATGTTGAGAAGTCAATAATTTTCGAGTTATAAGAGATTGAAAAAAATGGGTTTTTTTGAAAACTAAACGTTTTGGAATTAAAAGTCTAACATAATTACATTCTTCAGTTAATTTCAGGTAGAGTTTACTATAATAAAATTTTAATTTGAGGCTTAGTTATAAAGACACATAATGACAAATATTGGAAAGTTGTAAAAAATGATGACCTTTTTTGACATTTTCGCTGAGGAAAAATCGTTCCCAAATTGACCAAAGAATCCATTTGTAATCGTTGGTCCGTTAGTTACCGGACACCCTGTATATATATATATATATATATATATATGTATATTATATATAGATTATATGGAGAAGTATTATACATAAACTAAGTGTTTTTATTCTTGTCCAGTTGAAAATAAATAAACTTTTTCTGCGGAAATTGTCCAATTAATTTATGATGCGATAGAGCCTTCATGCTTCGTTGCTTTCGTCGGAAAAATAATCTTGTGATTATTTCTCAATAATGCTACTTGATAGTAATCTATTTATATAATGTGCCTTTTCTGTTTAAAGTTAATAACATAAGAGGATAAGAAGAATAAAAATAGATGACAAAAATATTTTTGACAATAAGAATAAAAGTATTATTCTTATTTATAGAAACAAGAGAAAAAAATAACGTACAGATATTATTAGCAAAAAGACAAGAAATAATTCTACACACGAGTGTTCTTCTAATTCTAAAGAAATTACAGTAAAAATTAAAACGTAACATGAGAGAAAGAGAGAGAGAGGGGAGACAGGAAGAACAAAAATGGAATAAAGGAAAAAGAGAGGAAAGAAGAACGAGTTTACATCCTGAAATATAATTTATAATAATTTATAATTTTTTGTAATAATTTTTATAAATAGTTATGACAAAATTTATTTCATATTATAGATTTTATTTTTATTATTATATACAATTATTTACAATAATAACAATTTATTATTTATATAATTATATATACTAGTTTTATAATACGACTTATATTTTCTTAAGCAAAGAGGAGAATCATTCATTTGCTTGTAGAATTAACAGAATTATTTGTCCATATCGCCTTGCTGACAATCTAGATTGCCGATAATTTCAATTGCATGCAGACCAGTTGCCTATATGCCTTATTATGCACAAGTAATGAAACGGATGTATGTACTTTTGCGCAGAAAAACTATTACGCACTAATGCAGTGTATACATAATCTATTTTGCATATGCATAATAATGCACTTACACAGTGATAATATAACACATATAAAATAAGAAAATCTACGTTCTGTACACGTAGTTTTATGCGCAGATAGAATATGTAAGCACTGCAATAGTTTTCTCGAGTGTTTTTAAATGTAAAGAGAAGGAGAAAGAGAGGTTTTCGTTTTTATAAAAACAAAAACTAGATTATAATACTGAGAAAATATTGTTATAAATATAATAGCGAAAAGAAACTCTTAAATATTCAAGAAATCTTAGATATCTAAAAAATTATTTATAATACAAAAGTTTGTATATGCTTGTCTAATTTTACCCTACATGATCTTTTTTCAGAAATTTTATATACATATATATAACATATGTATTTATTTGATTAGATATTTCATCATAGATTGTCGAAATTTTATGCAAAGCAAGATCTATTTACAGCTATTATTACATTTTTATTTTATTTGAGTATTATTTATATAAAAATTGTTTATTCTATAGCCTATTCTGTATTATCAGCACTCTACAATAATAAAGTAAAATGAAAATTATTCATATTTAAAACATAGAATTTTTGTACATTTTTCAAATATTATAAACAAAATAATTTTTTTTATTGGAGCTTGTCGACTAGATTTTAACATTTGCAATCCGTATTTTATAGTTTTCATGTTCTTGCTTGTTGTTGTTTTTTGTATTTTGATATATTATAATTTTAAAAGCGAAATGAAATTAAATTGGTTTTAGCTAGGCCATAGATAATAATTTTAATAAAATGTAATATATATTATATTAACAATACAATACGGTTTTATATTATAATTATGATATTTTATGTTTATAATAAATCTAATTTTTAAATTTAATTATTGATTATAATTATAAAATAAATTGGTGACGTAATAATATTGGTGACGCAATACACAGTTTGTATTTTTTATTTATTTACTTCGTGGAAAAATTGTTATTAAAATTGATATTGAATTATGACGCTGCTCGCATTAGCAGCGAATGAGTTTATCTTTATACTTGATCATCGTTAGTTTTTGCCCGACTATTTGCGAAATAGCAATTATTACAGTAGATTTCTGCAGCTCAAAAACGATGAATGAATTTGCATAAAATTATGTTCGCACACTTGCGTTCATAAACATTTTATTTTTTTATTTTTTTTTTTTCGGAATTTGTAGCAATGTATATTACGTTTAAATATATCTTACATCTTGGAATATTAAATTAAATGGACTATTATTTTGATTTGATGTATATTGTATAATCTTTGTTATCATCGTTCAACATCGATAAATTGTATAGATGATGATTATCACGAATATGCGATACACCAAAGTCTTCGCAACTTCTTATTTTTATAAGAAAAATAAATATTTTTTTCTAATTTGAAATTTATTATTTAAATATTTATTGAATTAGAAATATAGACGCAACTAATGTAATTTGGAATACGAAATTTGTAAAAAAATAATAAGTTATTTTTTTTTCACAACACTAAAAATGCCTTCATTTTATAATCATTTCACAAAAATATTTATAGTCATTAAAGCAATAATTAATTTTATCGACGAATTTTTCGGATTAAATAATTGAAAAAAATTTCCTAAATACCTGCAAAGAAAAACTTTTTTCTTTTAATGATGAATATCAATAACGTTCGCGAAACACGCGCTTGTGTTGCTTAGTATATATAACAAAAATCAGAAATTAAAATTATACATAATTATACATAACTAAAATTTGGTAAATTAAAATTGTGTGCATAATAGACATTCAAGAATTAAAATTAAAATATAAAATATATAATAAAATATAAAATTAAAATATAACTGTTTAATTTAATACTGTAGCATCACACATTTATACCTACATTATTTTTTAATAAAAATTATTGAATTGTATTTCTCGTATTATAGTATTCTATTATCAATTTATTATACTAACAATAATTTGTCATAATTAAACTTGATAATAAAACTGAGTTTGATTTATAAATCGACATAATTACTTTCATATGTAACTTCCTACTGTATTAACAAATTTGCTTATAAATACTACATTTATATAGCATATATATCATTTTGTTTAATGTAACCGAATATAATTACGCACGCAAAGCAAAGTTATATTATTCTTTGATATGTAATAAAATCTCAAAAATTGCGACGCATGCATGCAAAAATTATTATTGCATAAAAATATATTAATTAATTATGCAACGCATAAAAATTCAATATTTAAATTTTTAACAGAAAGTACGAACGAAGAAATAAAATTTTCTACAAGAATCTTTTGTGATCAAATATCTACGCTTTCATTAGACTCGCGCGAGACTTCATTCCCCACATATCTGTCATGCTGCGCGGTTCGCGCGAGACTGATTCTCATGCGAGATATCGCAAGCGCGTAACCGATGGTCACATGACCAGTGACGCGGGACCGATGGTCACATGATCAATGGTCATGTGACCATAGGTCCCGCGTTCACGATCCCCGCACGAGAATCAGTCCATCAGTCTCGCGTGAGCCGCGCACCGTAATGGATGGGTGGGGTGTACTTATCTGATCACGTGATTAGTTTTGCGTGAGTCATGCAGTATAGCGGACGCGCATAGACGCGCAAATCTAATGGAAACGTAGATATTTCGATCGAATGATTCTTGAAAATTCTATTTTTATCTTTTGTTAAAAATTTATATGTTAGATTTTTATATATGAATCACATAATTAATAAATATATTTTTATGCATGCATTACAATAATAATTTTATACATGCATTGAAATTTTTAAAGTTTTATCAAAAAATAATATAACTTTGCTTCGCGCACTTAATTATATTCGATTAAACTAAACAAAATGAGAAAAATATATATACAAAGAGATATAATATATATATATATATATATATATATATGTATATATAGTTATCAAAGAATACAATAGAAATTCGGCGAATTAAAATTATGGTCATATGCATCAAGCAACTGTCATCACGAAGATTGACAATTTGACAGTTGCAAAATAAATAATAGAAATAATATCAATAATAATAATAATAGAAATAATAGAAATAATAAAGGCGCGCGAGAAGCGCGCTTGTATAATTTAGTAAAGTAAAATGTATATGTTGATTATATATATATACATGATCGATGCAAGTAGCAACTCTATCTTGTGCCGCAAATTGTATTTATTGGAAAGATAATATCTTCTAAATTATATTAATATCTTAAACTTTATACTTAACTTACACCTTTATAGTAGCGCACTAGATTATAAGATATAATAAATTACAAATATTATAAGATATAATAAATTTTTCGCTAATTATTTCTAGTCAGGAAGATAATTTTTATAAAATTGATTATATTTAAATAGTTTATTGCAATTATGAATAGAAGCAAAAAGAAATGAAATTGACTTCTCGTTTGAAATATGAAATTCTAAAAACATAATTAAATTGTTGACTTGCAACTAAATAAAGAATTTTATATAATGGTTTCATAAAAAAACTATATATTTATTTTTCTTTTTTATATTATACATTATTAATTAATAAAAAGAAAAATAAATAATAATGTAAATATAATTAAAAAAAATAATATAAGAAAAAAGTGAATTTGTCATAACTATTTCCATTTATTGAAAAGCTCTTGAGTAAAGTTATTTATTGTTAGAAGACATCTTATAAGTATTTTAATTGTAATTTAATTTGATAATTATGTGTAATTAAAACATGTATAATGTATATATCAAAATTTAAAACTTATAATATCGTAAAACATGCAATAATAATGGTATAAAATATATACTTTATAAAGCGAGATTAATTCTGTTATTCTTTTATATGTGAGTATTATATATTTGTATATAAGTATTATATACATATATGCATATATTTATAAGTTAAAAAATATATTTTTATAGGTATATTTCTTTTTCTATGATAATTTATATGATATAACATAGCTTCTTCTGTTCAGGCCCGTTTGCTTAGAATTTTTTTTCAAGTATTGCCAGCTTTAACAATGAGCAATGTATGGCTGCGAGGAGTTTCTCATTGTTGCTTTTATTAGTTCGATTCTCTGCTATTAGAAAAAAATAATTTTAATACATATATTACAAGTCATGTAATTTTAACATGTATATATTACACGTATTAAAATTATAATGTAATGATTTGCATTATATAAATATATATAGATGTAAATTAAATATATAGAATGTTCTGGAATAACTGTCACACTTCTCATGATAGATTTAAATTACGAAGCCTAGCCGAAATGTACAAGTAAAGAACAGCACTGAATTATTGCGAAGATCGTAAAATGTTAGAGGATTTTTCTACTCGTTCTATCTATACATGAGAGGTAATGCGATTATTACCGAAGACCCTATATAGATGTATAATATTAAAATAGTTATAAATATATTAAATATTCAAATCATCACGTTAAATAATAAAATGATTGAATTATAACATTATTAATGTGCATAATAAAGATTTTTCTAAGGATATTTATTGATAAAGAATATAAAAAATAAGTAAAATATATATGTAATTACCTTGAGTAATGCACGAAGCAATTTTGCTCAACTCCCTCTCGCTGCTGACACTACCGAAATATTTTTAAATTTCATCCTTTTTCATCGCACCTTGTTCGTCGATCTAGATCCAATAACAAAATATATATATGTATACAGACATTTAATATGATTTATAATTAAAATTTATAATGTAATTTAATATTTATTTCTCAGAAACATTTAAAAAATGTAATAGTCTAAAGTCGCACAAATTAAAATGTATATGTATTTGTAGTAAAATGTTACGATTCTTGCAATTTTATTTTGAGAATCAATTCAGTTTTAATTATCATTTAATATTGAATTGATAATTCTTGATTAATTGAGAAATAATTAATGCATAAATATATACATACCAAGGAATTTTTTTCAAGCATACACTTGATCGCTAAGGGATCGACGCCATTTTCTTCTGCAAAACACAGTTATGAATGAAATTGTACAATTATAACATTAAAAATAATATTTTCGAACATGATATGACGAGGTTAAAAATTTTAAACACGCTTATTTCTGTTTGCTATGATTTTTTAATCTAACTTGGAATTATATTATAATTATAATATAATTTTTTCTTCTAAGAATTTCTTAGACAGATATATTTAGATATTTTAATATAGCAATTCTTCTTTCTTCAAAATACGTATTATTGAGAAATAAAAGTTTTTAATAGCTCATTCTTATCTTTTTTTATCTCAATAGAAAAATATTTCTGTGATTAATCTTAATTTCCCTGGACAACGGAGGTTAAATGTTTTAAAGTATGTAAAATGTGATAAATTGCTTCGTCAAAAATAAAGTTTAATTTTAAAATGGATAATAATTTAAATATTTATATTTTTTATTTATTTAACATGAATATATATTGATGAAGTAATTATCATTCAACTATAATTCTTACCTTTCATATTTTAATAGAATGCATTGGTGAAAAAAATGTGTGCATTTTTTTATTAAATTCTATTTTAAATAAAACGCAATTTGAATTTAAATAAAAAATAAGTAAAAATATTTTTTAAAAATCATAATTAAAATTGTATAATTTTCACTTTATTCTTGACAGATGCAATATATCTTTTGTGTTCACGTAGCTTATACTAATTTCATATGTATTTAACATTTACCGGGTAAATTTAATTCTGTGGTACATGTTTGGAGGTCTTTGTAAAATTTTGGTGTATCTTCGACGTCAGCAGTGTAGACCATACTCTAGAAAAAACATGCGAGGAAAAATTAACTTACAATTTCAGTATAAAAATAAAATTTAAAAAAATAGTTAAATTTAATTACGATATATTAATAAATTATATTAATAAAATATATTAATAAGTTTAATGTGTTACACAATATTTTATTGATTGCTGCCAAAATCATCATTAGCAAATTAATTTTTTAATTGAATATATTATATTTTAAAATATACTAAGTATTACTTCAAATATTAAATATTATAATTATAAATATTTAACGTTTTCTAAATGTTATATGAAATCAATGTTAATATAAGAAATAAATATTATGAATCGTTATTATTTAATGTTACAGATAATTTTTTATTACATATATATTATTACAATTTTATTTAATACTTAATAATGGAATAGAGATGTATCATTAATTCAAATTATATAAATATTCTAATATTATTGAAATATTATAAATACATATTTTATTAGTTGTTTTTGTACTCACGGCAATGGTCAATACACACACGACGAGCATGAAAGCTTTCATCTTGATATTTTTCGATTGCTGTAATATTTCGAGGCTCAATTAATTAATCTTCTCGAAAGACTTTCTTTCTTACACTGCGACAGGTCCACGTCGTGAGCGTTATTTATAGAGATTGTGAATCCAATACAATAAAGGTCGTTTATAGGAGAACGAATCACGAGTTGCCTATAAAGGCTCGTTGGCTCAATTATTAGTATTATCAGCTGACGAGAACTCACGAGCGAGAGCGACTATGATTTAAAAAGGAATTCTGTAGCCTCGCTAAAGACATCTCGGGATTTCCCTGCTTGCTCAAATGGTAGGAGGATATAAGAAAACACTTATTTGAAGAGAATATTTCTCTTATAATCGCTGTTTGCTGTCATTAGTATTCTCTCATATGATGAAAAAACACGTGATCGCATGTTTTTAAACAGAAATAGATAATTTATTGGCATTGCGTGTTCGATACTGATTAGCAGTCAAGTTCAGGTTATTGCGATAACACTTCGTCGAATCGTTGTAAAATCAACTTCATTAATAGTTTCTATTGAAATAAGTTTTTTTTTTCATTTAATTGAAATCTATACATATATGTCAAAAATATTATATTTAAAATATTGTATTCTTAAATTAAATGAAACTTTATAATAATATCTGAATCAATATATGATTTAAATTTTAATATTAAAATTAATTTTAATATTAATTTTATTTTTTATCTTGGGAAAAGATTGAAAGAAATAAAAAGTGAATACATGTTATAACATAAGATTTATTTAATTATATATGTATTTAATACATTTGGAATTTTTCTTTCGATTTTGGAACACAATACATATTCTGCTGTAATGGCCTATTTTCATATCAAGTCGAACCAAAATAGTTTCCAGAATTAATGCGTTCTAAATGCGTTGAAAAATCGAGAATGACGTCCTCACGAGAAAAAGAGAAGCTGTAAAAGCGAGATTTTCGAGAAATTTAGAAACATTTTATAGATTTTAAAAAATTTTACTTATATGAAAACGTTTTATATTTTTATACACAATTTCTAAATATGTATATTTATAAATAAAAATAATTTTTATATAATATTAATTTATAATACTCACAAAATTCTGTGTGATAACTTTTATTTAATTTTTAGATTAAAGAAAGTAAATTAGATATTTAAAAAAATTAGAATTTAATAGTTTGAACTGAGATGTATTGTAAACATAATGATTTGTTAATAATGAGTTTTTGAATTTAAATGGCAGTAAGAGAACAGTTAATGAAAGTGACAGTAATGATATCTACAATATGTTATGAAACTGTTTATATGTTATAAAAATGAAAAAAATTTTTTATTTTATTTTTGCTTTATATTTAGAATCTATGGTATTATGAAAAGATAAAATGATTGTCTGATTATTACCATTGAATCAAATTCGTAGATGCATTTAATTAACTCGTATGCTAATTCACATCCGTCTCCTTTCTTCTTTACTGTAAATAAAAAATATCGCTATATATTAGATATTATAGGAGAACTGTTTAACGGAAAATATTTTAAAATAATAGTTAAATAATTAATTAAAGAACCAATTAAAGTTATTTAAAAATTTTATTTAGTTGATTATTTGAGTGATTTACTTACTGATTGGATCACAATGTTCCAATGCTTTCATAGAAGGATCGAAAAGATTGTCGTTTAACATGAGCTCTACAATATTGACGAGTGCCTGTTTCACTATCCTGTCATCTTTACTCATCTAGAAATAGAAAAAAAAAATAAATTATATTTCTATTATTTTTTGTGGAAGAACAGATTAATTATGTACAGATTTTATATGAGCAAAGAAATATCTATTTTTTGTATTTTTTAGAACAGTTATAATGAGCAATAATTTTCTTTCTAAGTACATGATATCTCAGTTTTTATAATTTAGAAAGAGATTTATAAGGAAAGATGAGATTCGCGAAATATTATTAACAATAAGTAAAATACTGAAATTTTACTTACGCCTTTTGTGTTCAATAGCATGCACTTATAATAACACTGCAATTTCCGGTCGGATACAAAGTTACCTTTGTTTACCTTATCAAGTACCTCTATGCATAAATAAATATGAGAGCTTTGTTATACATATTATCGTTCTATTATATTTTTACTATTTTTGAAATAATTTAATTTAATAATAATTTCGAGATATGCGTAAGACTAGTTTATTTTATTGATACATACTTGGATCGAGGCGAACTCTCTCTATGCAATTTTTTTCAACGGCAGCAGCGCTTCATTAACTTCATCCATGGACATTTTTCTCTACGTAAATAAAAATGGCCCAATGACGCGATCAAAAAAATATGAAACGTCTCAATATTTAAGTCAATTTCTAAATAGAATAAATAAATGCATCAATAAATCTATTTTCTTATTTTTGATAAGATTTTACATAAAATATTCTGAAAATGGAGACATAATTTATTTTTCAAAAAGTAAGTCTCTAATTATTTTGAATTGTATATGTGGAAAATTACGTATTGAAAAGATATATTACAAAAATATTAAAAATATTAAAAATTAAAGGAGAAAGTATTTTAATGCTTTCTTGACAAGTAAAGTAAAATTTTTAGATTTGCATCTCTTTTAGAGATATGACTTGACAAATTTTTATATTAACCCTTAATGATGTTCTCTTTTAATTTTTTCATTGTATGAATTTTATAGATAAGAACAAGATGCAAACAAATATGAATATTTATTTCTTGACTGTATGAAAATATTAATTTATGGTACAAAATACACTATAATATATATTGTTAATATAATTTTTTAAATTTTTATTTAAATTTTGATAGCTTAATACATTCTGATGCAATTGTGCGTATTGTTCTTGACAAAAACTTACGCTCTCAGTATTCTGCAAATTTACCATTAGTACAAATGCGATAAAAAAGCTCACACTAGCACCTTTCATATCTATTTGTTATGTCTGATTTTGTTTCGAATTTTTTTAACCGCGATATTGATTCTTAATGGATGGCAACTGGACCAAACTTTTGCAAATTGCGTGCAAAATACATCCGTCTACTTTTATATGCAGGAATTAAATGAAGGATTAGGGGGAGAACCCTCAATCTAAAGATTTCTTGAGGTGGTATATCCTAATATACCTAAATTACTGTGTTGGTTGACATAATTAGCGATACTTAACGCTAATAATAATGAAACCCGGAATCTTATTGTCATTTTCAAAGGTCAGATGATCACAACATTGTTGCAAGTGCGCCATTGATGGTAATCTTGGGATTACGCATTAACGATGATGCAAAATACATATATAAGGAAATAAATTTCCGAGATTCTCGTCGGAAAAACATAAATAAAAGATTTTCTTAGAAATTGTATGTTTATTTTATGATTAATTGCAGATTTTTTTAGTTGTAGTATTAATTTTTTATCTTCAGCTTTAATTATTATTCAATTTTATTTAACAATTATTTAAGTAGAGGACAAGTAGAGGAGGAATTTCAGAAATTGCATTTTTACAGGGATGTTTGTTTCGAAAAGTATAATTTTGAATAAAGATATTTTAATATTGTGTAACTATACTTTAGTTTTTTCTGAACAGCGCTTTGACCAACGTAAAATTTTAACAACTACTTTCATATACTTAAGATAAACTATTTATTTATTATAATGCACTAACGCGCATAATTATTGCATAATTTTTTTCTAAGATACAATTACTACGTATTGTAATTTATTTGCTCACAAATTTATGATTACACAAATTTTGTAATTTTTTCTATTGTATATTATTTATTAGTATAATATTCTTTTATATTTCTGTGGTTATGCTTACATATTGCAAAAGTAATCACAATTCTTCGTTTTCTGTAATCATATTATTTTTTTCAAACTTTTCTGCATCCGATGTTAATCAGGGGAAGAAGAAGTGATCTGTTTTATAGCAACAGTTTTATAGCCTTATCTGTTTTATAGCAACACTACAAATTTATAAGTCGTGTCGCAATTGTCGCTACTAGGAGCTATGAAAGGAAAACAGAAATTTAATAAACAGTTGTTATTTTTCTTTTAAATCATTGGTGTTAATTAACTTAAGATACTTAATCAATCAGTCAATTTGTAATAATTTGTAATAATGCATAAATATTTTTTTGCTGATGTAGGTATAAATTATAAATGCAAATATTTAGTAAAATTATATACAAAATAATAATTTTATTTGAAATTGATATTATACTGAAAACAATTTTGATTATTAATTTATTGTAAAAAAATTACGAAAAAAATTTATTACCTAAACAATTTTTTATCTGGTACAACAAAATGAATTTTTAAATCAATTTTTACATCAAAATAATATATTTATAATATTTTTACATAGAAAACAACAACATAAATGTTTATTATTTAATTATCTCCAAAATGCATTATTTTCTTTTATTAAAATTATATATTTTAATTTTTGTTTCACAAAAATATACTTACGCAGGTTTGCTCGTGCAATTGTAGATGCTTTCATAGACGCAGCCATTTCGACAGGTATCATTATATGGTAGATCTAACTGTTTAATCATCATGCCATCATCTATGCGTTCACTCTTTCACATGATTTGTAAAAAAATATATATATAATATAGATAATTATTTAGATATTAGAATATTAATATAGATATTAGAAAAGTAGGAACTTTTATATTGCATATTCTTGTAAATTATATTAAGACGTTTTTAATGTCAAATTTTTCGATTAATAAAATCGTTGATATTCTTTGAATTTTTAAATCAAATGTTTAAATCAAAGAATTCAGTTAAATTACGATATTGATAAAGATGATATTTTTTCGTTATTATCTTCGCAAATATTATGATAAAACTCTTTTGCAACATTAATATGCATGTATTGATATACAACAAAAAAAATAAAGATTAAGCCGATCAATTTCTTTTAATGACGAATATATAATAAATATGTTATAAGTCAGAAAATACGGCAATAAGAAATACTTTATGTTTTGAAAATACTTCGATATTATCTATTTCATTAGGCTGATTCATAAATAAGTTCCACTATAGATAATTAATGAATCACTTCTTCTGACCAGTATTACCCACGGTATTTTATCTATGCAAAGTTAAGAGTGTATCATTTATGAATCAGATTCATATCTATCTTTAAAAAAATTTCAGATGACAGTAGTAATCAAATAATGCATTGTTTTGAACATAATTAAATTAAAAAAAATTTTTAGAATAAAACGCGGTTATCATAACTATATATTGTATGTCCTCGAAAATAAAAGTTTAGGTGTGTCGGCTTTTTTAAACAAATTAGAGAATAAATGGGTTAATTTTTTTTCCCGCATTTTTTATATGTATACAGTGCATTAGTATTTTTCTCAAAGCTCACTAAGACAATATAATTAATTTTTATTGACTTCCAATATATTGAACGATATTTTATTTATCGTTATGTTTCATATATCGCTACAATTAAGTGAATAGTGCTTTTATTTCTTACAGTTCGCATCGCTTTCATTATGCAGAGTGTGTAGCATTTTAATGGTTGATTGCCTTCCGGAAATTGGCCCGTTTACATTTATTTGGCTTGTTTGTTTGTATGGTATAGACCATACTATAGAAAAAACATGTGAGGAATAATTAATTTACAATTTCAGTATAAAAAATAAAATAAAATAAAATAGTTAAATTTAATTTTGCGATATATTAATAAGTTATATTAATAAGATATATTAATAAATTCAATGTTACAAAATATTTTATTGATTGCTGCCAAAATCATTTGCAAATTAATTTTTTAATTGAATATATTATATTATGAAATATACTATTAACGTTTTGTGACGTTATTAATGTTTTGGAACGTGAAATATAATATTAACGTTTTATAAATGTTAAATATTTATAATTATAATATTTAATTGTTTAATGTTATATGTGTCGAGAAATATATTTAAAATATTATATTGTGTGTTACATTAAACGAAACTTTATAATAATATCTGAATCAATATATGATTTAAATTTTAATATTATTATTGATTCAATATTAAATTTTATTTTTTATCTTGGGAAAAGATGGAAAGGAATAAAAGTGAATACATGTTATAACATAAGATTTATTTAATTAATATGTGTATTTAATATATTTGGAATAATTTTTCTTTCGATTTTGGAATTTAATACACAATACATATTCTACTGTAATGGCCTATTTTCATATCAAGATGAGCTGAGATAGTTTCCAGAATTAATGCGTTCTAAATGCGTTGAAGATCGAGAATGACATCCTCACGAGAAAAGAGAAGCTGTAAAAGCGAGATTTTTGAGAAATTTAGAAACATTTTATAGATTTTAAAAAATTTTACTTATATGAAAACGTTTTATATTTTTATACACCATTTCTAAATATGTATATTTATAAATAAAAATAATTTTTATATAATATTAATTTATAATATATACAAAATTCCGTGTGATAACTTTCATTTAATTTTTAGATTAAAGAAAGTAAATTAGATATTTAAAAAATTAGAATTTAATAGTTTGAACTGAGATGTATTGTAAACATAATGTATACATACATACACATTATCTGATTAAAATATCATTATATGGAAGAATGTATCATAAAATATTTGTTAATAATGAGTTTTCGAATTAAAATGGCAGTAAGAACAGTTAATAATGAAATTGACAGTAATGATGTTTACAATATGTTATGAAACTGTTTATATGTTATAAAAATAAAAAAAAATTTATTTTATTTTTTACTTCATATTTAGAATCTGTGGTATTATGAAAAGATAAAATGATTGTTTGATTATTACCGTTGAATCGAATTCGTAGATGCATTTAACTAACTCGTATGCTAATTCACATCCGTCTCCTTTTTTCTTTACTGTAAATAAAAAATATCGCTATATATTAGATATTATAGGAGAACTCTTGAACGGAAAATATTTTAAAATAATAGTTAAATAATTAATTAAAAAATCAATTAAAGTTATTTAAAAATTTTATTTAATTGATTATGTGAGTATTTTACTTACTGACTGGACCACAATGTTCCAATGCTTTCATAACAGGATCGAAAAGATTGTCGTTTAACATGAGCTCTGCAATATTGACGAATGCCTTTTCCACTAACCTGTCATCTTTAGTCATCTAGAAATAGTAAAAAAAGATAAATTATATTTCTATTGTTTTTTGTGGAAGAACAGATTAATTATGTACAGATTTTATATGAGCAAAGAAATATCTATTTTTTGTATTTTTTAGAACAGTTATAATGAGCAATAATTTTCTTTCTAAGTACATGATGTCTCAGTTTTTATAATTTAGAAAAAGATTCATAAGAGAAAAGATGAGGTTCGCGAAATATTATTAACAATAAGTAAAATACTGAAATTTTACTTACGATTTTTGTGTTCAATAGCATGCACTTATAATAACACTGCAATTTCCGGTCTGATACAAAGTTACCTTTGTTTACCTTATCAAGTACCTCTATGCACAAATAAATATGAGAGCTTTGTTATACATATTATTATCATTCTTTTATATTTTCACTATTTTTTACAATAATTTAATTTAATCTATATTTTGGCTTACACACGTGTATGTATGTATATATTTACTGTATATGTTGCAAATATATACACATGTATTTATAATGTGTGTAGATTGTGTGTGTGTATGTGTGTGTGTGTGTGCACATATATTTATATACATATATATATAACATATCGTATTTTAGATTAATAAAAAAATTACATTTGTGTGTGTATGTATATAAAAGGTTCAGAATTTATAAAGTTTAGTGCTTATATGCTAATAATAAATTGATAAAAATTATTTTAGTAAACTTATATCTAGTAATCTTATATTTAGTAAATTTATTATAAAAAAGAAAATTCTATGACAATTATTAATATTAATAATTTCGAGATATGCGTAAAACTAGTTTATTTTATTGATACATACTCTGATCGATGCGAATCCTGTCCATGCAAATTTTTTCATTGGCAGCAGCGCCTCATTAAATTCTTCCAAGGACATTTTTCTCTACGTAAATAAAAATGGCCT